AAATTATAACAAGTTTATAAATTTTCCATATATAGAATCCAATTATTGAAGGGCCACCTTATAATCATGACTGTTTTCTCTTTCAACAAATACTGGGTGTGTACATAAGTTTCTTGTGTGATCAAATGGCAGACTGCTATGTCAAGCATGTATGTTCTTGAAGAACAACCCAAAACTGATGGAGCATTCTACACATTTTGAGAAGTGTCAATAGTCTTAGATAGTCTTCTGTACATTATTTTAACTAATACAAGTCACTTGCCCAGTCTTTAAGTTTCTTTAATTTTATTTCCCTCATTAAGTTTCAATCTTGTCCAGTAAGCAAAGACCTCATACATGCTAGATAAGTCTTCCTGATTAGAGGCTGTTGCAAGACTTCTTTACTTCTTCAGGAGAAGTAAGGATTCTGTTTAAACTTTAAAATTTAAATTAGATCTTAAACAACTTACCTAGTAAGTTAATGACTCCATCGTTGTAGCAAGCAAAAAGCTTAATAAGATCTTTAAAGAGAAGCATAAATGCAGCATTTATGACACCATTTGTCAGTTCATTTGGATGAACCTACACACAAATAAAACTCCAGTTATTTCAATTGATCTGCGCACCTTCTCCCCAATATGCTTCAATTTGATTTGCTGAAACATTTTGCTAAGAAACAGTAAGTTCTGCAGACTAGATATCTTTGAATTCTTAGAAAGTTCTTACTTCTATTTTATTTAATGGAATTAAATTCACATCTGTTTCACCATTTTAGTAGTTAAGTTATATGCTTCTCATCTTTCCCTTGTTTGTTAGGGAAATGTTAGTTGCCACTGCCTCAGGCTCACCTGGTTAGCCTGAGGTCTTCAGAGAAGCATCTCAGAGACTAACTCATTCAGAAATGGATAACCTTTTGCAGGCAACAGCCTACTTCATTAGATACTATGAATGGACTGACATCTACTAAAATAAGTTGCTGCTTATAAAAAGTTGCTGCTTACAAAAGTCTAAACAAGTTAGTCTGCCACTCTGCCCCGTGTCTTGTCTTGTGGCCAAACCTGATAACATATTTGTTCCATTTACAACTCTACTCCATTCCAAGAGCTCATAAAACTTCTCTCCCAACTGTGCAGTTTGTCCAGCAATAGGTATGAAAATCATTCCCAAAAACCCCCACCTCCTCTCTTATACATACTTCATATCATTTAAAGACCTGCGACTAGAAAAAGACATTACATATTAGCTCCAACTTTCCCAAGGTATTATGTCTACAGAGCTAAAAATGTAAGACCCCTTGTCTAGTTATATACCACAAATCCTGATAGCTAGCACAGCTCCTCCCTTCCAAAAACAACAACAAACACAAACCAAAAAAAACAGCTGGCACAGGATCTGCAGACCCAACATCCACTTTGAGCCTAGTAATAGAACATGACTTCTGGAGTTAGAAGGACAGGGCACTTACACACTTTGTATATTGAATGTAGGAATGGGGCACTTGCATATTCACTAGCTACTACTTACAGCTTAAAAGCAATTCCATAGCTACAGAGCAATGTACTCAGCTGTTACAATGATGAAACAATTTGTTGCTCACTAAGGAGTCTCATAGGCACATGTTCCTTTAAGGACCATGACAGAACGTGCAAAAGTCTAGTATCCGTGGGCAAATTATGCTTTCAGAGATTTTGATACATGTATTAGAAGCTAATGCCCAAGAACAGACTCTCTTTACAATTCTAGAAATAAGTGATCATGAATATGCTGAATAGAGATAGTATACCAAAAGACATAAAAGCTGAAATACTTCTATTGTAAGGCCCAGGTAGTTGTTTGTTTTTAAGGGGAATGTCTGAAAAAGCATCCCCAGTTAAGCATCTTGCTAAAAAGCATGCATCTCGTTGAAAACAAAGCAAGCATGCACTGCTGCTTGCCACACATTTGAATCTCAGGAATCAAGGGGCACCTATAGATGAGTGAAAAGGCTGCTCCAAGGTGCTGGAATGCCAACACGTCGGAGCACTCAAGTTAATTGAGGCTGCTGGAGTGTGGCAATTACTATGCTCCAGCAACCTCCTGCATCTTGTGCATCACAGGGGCACTTGAACTAAAGCTCATTGAACAAGATTTAGTTCAAGCAGGCCCACCACCATTTGTAAGTGTGGGGACACTGATACAGGAGATGTCGTGGCACTTTAATTAAAGCAGCTCTCAGAATGCCCAAAGGTTTTCCTAGCCAGAGTTAGGGAGGAAGTGGGCAGGAAGGGGACGTCAACTTCTGTCTTAAAAAAAAAAATTCCCCTTCTTGTACTGCTCGACCCCCAGCCATGCCCTCTCTCCTCGTTTAAAAAGCAGCAGAGAATTAGTAGAAAAACTAACACATTACACTTATTTTTCTAGTGAGAGAACAGTTCAGAGAGTCTTAACCTTACTGTGATACCAAACACAAACCTGGTAAGTACCCCATCATATATTTGCTACTGGCATGAGAACCAAAACTGTGAGGCATCTTGACTTCAAACTGCAGATGCAAAATGAGATGCATGTTTTCAAATCACTATAAGACTTAAAATCCTACCTCAAAGTGCTTAGGAGTGGAATTTTAGATTTTTTTAAATTTTAGCCCATAAATACTACGATTGTGAATTCTTAGGCTGCTTGCTTGCAAACATTAAAAAAAAGGTGCTTTACCAGAAGCAGCAGCATGGTGTTACTTTGACCTGTCTCCACAGCATCTGCATAGACTGGGCGCTTCAGCAGGGCTTTTCAGCATTTCTCTTTAAAGCTGAGTCAATCAGCTATTAGATAAAAGCGCCAAAAAAAGCCACGCTAAAGCACCCAATCTATACAGACACTGGGCAAGCCAGGTCCAACACAATGCTTCTTCTGGGCACGTGCTGGGCTTGGCGCGGGAGCACATAGTTAAAATAAAGCCTCCCCCCCCCCCTTTTTTTTTTTTAAAAACCCAAAATTTTTTAAAAAACCCAAATATTTTTTGAAAATAAAAAAAAGGTTTTACAAAAAATTTTTTTAAAAAGCCAAAATTTTTTGAAAAAAAAAAAAGGCTTTGAAAAAAATTTTTGTTAAAGCTTTTTTTTTTTTTAAATGTTTGTAAACAGCCATAATGTCTTGAAAGTAGAAACAGGCTTTAGCAAGAATTTTTTCAAAATACTTGCATGTTGACAGTCTTCAATAAAAGCAACAAGTTTTACACCCCTCATGTTACAGATACATATGCTTACCTCCAAGGGTGAACAAGTAGTCTCAATACTTACATCAAATTCAAGTAGTGCATCAATTTGTCCCTGCAATATTGGCATACTTTTTAGCAGCTTTTCTGGAGCCATTGTTCTCATTACACCATCAGCTCTGAAAGAACACACCTTAAGTTAGCAAGCATTTTCCATCAGGTGCTCAAAATATTAAGTAGTTCAGATATATGCGAAGTAAAGTTATTGTTGACTAGTTCAAGAGGAACGAGCACTTCATAAAAAGTTAGAATAAAAAGCATGTACATTTGATGTACAATTACGTAGCTCAGATTTCACTACAGTCTTGAAGCACTGGGAGCCATAAGCAAGCTATTATCAAGATGCATCAAAACTAGTTTGGATGTTTCTACCCTCAGAGCTTGTTCCTAGGGATAAGAAGTCCATGGGGGGAGTGGAATCCAAAAGTCCATCTGGGAGAAAGAGCAATACAAGCATCCTTGCAGCCACCCACTTCTTGTTCTCCATGCCTTTGCCAGACCAGGAGAGGACCAGATCAGAAGAGAGGCGTAGGCAGCAGAGCAAACTTCCAACCCGTTCCACAGACCTGGCAGTCACTAGACTAGAGAAGCGGCAAGGAGCACAGGGGGATGGACCAGGAAGGGAATGGAGCAAGAATGAATGCCTGTAAACTGCAGGAAACTCACAAGGGAGATCTTCCAAGCGTTAACCTGACAATTTCTCCTCAGTAGGGCATGTTTACTCCAGAAAATTTGAATATTTGTATGGCCCTAGTTTTTACTGAGGTGCAAAACAATGCCTTAAAGAATATAATTTCAGGTTAGGAGCTAGGACCATTTAAAAAAAAAAAAAATCAGGCCATTCTGCACAGTTAACGCCACTAGAAAACAAAGTATCAAGGCTACTAAAGGAGAGAACACAGAAAAAACATTTTAATGGTCTAAGAGGCAGTCAAGCTAAACACACAGGTCTAGTCAATAAATACACCCTGGGAAATTATGTAATTATGCACCCGTGCAATTTTGCTCATCAAACTTATGACACTGCATAACTTTAACCTGGGTGGGTTCTGTGCCTCCACTTCTGTGGGGCTTCTGGCACTCCAGCTGGGAGCCCCATATGGAGGTACCAGGCACAGTGGCAAGTAATTGAATAGCTGGTGAGTAGAAGTGGAGCTCATACCTGCAGGAAGAGAGGTGGGTGTGGGGTTTTTGGGAGGGTGTGGGCCCCCCATCACACTTCCCAGTAGCAGCAGCAGGCGGCAGGCCCTTGAGGTGCTCATGGCTGCAACAGGCAGAACCCCTGGTGCACGAGTCCCAGGAACAGCATGGAGCCTGCCTGGCTCAGCCTGCTGGCACATACCTTCAAGGCAGACCGGGCAGGCTCATGCCAGCACCTGGGGCTTGTGGCACTGCAGGTGGGAGCCATGTGTCACTGGGCCAGGCTGGGCCAGCTCTATGCCTCTGCGTGGGGCTTCCAGTACTCCAGTGGGAACCTGCATGTGAAGGCACAGAGCCCACCCAGCTCCATGGTGCGTGACTGTGTCTCCATGTGTGGCTTCCTGTTGGAGTTCTGGCAGCCCCATGTGGAGTACTGGAACTCGCCTGGCCCACAGCTCCCACCTGCGATGCCACTAGCTACACATGCTGGCATGGAGACAGCCCAGTTTGGACTGAAGGCAGATGCCAGTAGTCTGGGTTGGACCAGCTCCATGTTGCCACGTGCAGCCCCTGGGACTCAGCTGAAGCTGCATAGCAGGGGGGGGCTCTGCCTGACAGTCCTGAGTGCCCCAAGGGCGTGTTGCCAGCTGCAGTTGCAAGCGAGGGCTGTGCACCATTGGGGGGGTGGGGAGGATGAACAAGTGGCAGGGGGCCCACACCTACCCAGATGGAGTTTTTGGCACAGTTATTAAGGATAAAAGATGAAATGTAAAATCAGTCAATCAAAATAATTTGTGTAATTTTGAATTTCTGTGCATGATTCCCTGGGTCGTAAATAAAAAAAAACAAAACAAACAACTGTTCAACGAGCTTTAGTTCAAGCACCCCTGCTGCCATCTTGAAGTGTGGGGATGTTAATACATGAGACAGAAGCTGACTGGACCACAATAATTGCCACATTCCAGCAGACTCAATTAATCGAGTCTGCTCTGATGTGCTGCAATTATAGCTCATTGAAGCAGCCCTGCCCATGTAATTACCAGACGTCGGAGCAGCCCTGCAGTACGTCTACAGGCACCCCTAGCTGGCCTCCTCATCAGAACATGTGGGGGAAAAACAAACTAAAACAAACTCCCCCTGCTCAACCCCACATATACACCCTGGCTAAAAAAAAAAAAAACAAAAAAAGTTTCCTTCCTAGTTTTTGTCTCCAGTCATCTAGCAGCAAGTGCTTAAGTGCCTCTTTCGCTCCTTGAGCTTCTTTACTATACAAGGTTAAGATATAAACAGGCATTTAATTTGAGTGTCAAAAATAATATTCAGTGAGTGTCATGATGATGTGACAAGGAGGGAATTTTCAGGCATTCCTACAGTTGCAGGCTCTCCAAACAAGGTTTTTTTTTCCTTGGTTCCCCTCACCCCCATGGAAGCCCATGGGAGGCAGCTGTTAAAGTTCAGCAGAGATCCTGGTTTTCCCTCAGAAATGGGTGTGGTTGGGAGACTCCAGTCCTGCTCCCAGTTCCAGGCAGGCAGAGTAAAGTCCTCAGTTCAGGCTTCTCCACACCTCCACCCCTTGCTCAGTCAGCAGGGAAGCTGAGGAGGGGGCAGGGCTCAGAGAATCTGCCAGCTCCCGGCTTTCTACAATGACCAGCAGGCGGGGAGGCGTGCTCTAGAGTCCCCTGGCTATTGGCGTAGGCCACTGCGGGGGTCTGGCTACCTTTGTTTGAAAAGTGGATTTCAATTCACTTGCTTATCAGTTCAATCTATGCGGTTTAGAGAAACCTGCAAAGATTGAATTGATTCAGCCTCAGCATGAATTGTGTGCGCCCCTGGCAGCTGGGGGGAGCACAGCGGCAGCGACAAGCCAGGAGGGGCGGCTGGCGGGCGCCGACCAGGGTTCGGCAACCACCCACAGACACCACCGGCAGCATCATCTTTCTGTAAGGGGTGCACCACACTCGGAGGGTGCGCATGCACCTGCATGTACCCCCTACACGTTGCCAGTGAGCCTTAGGGCTTTTTGAATGTCTGTACTTAGCCCATGAGACATGTCCAGGTATTACCAGGGGTGTTAGAGTTGCTCCCTGAAGTAGCTTTTTGTTGTAAGACTTAAGTTTCATCAAGAGGTCCCATGCACCAGTTTTCATCTCCAGCTGTTATACTTGTTGTCATTACTTAAGGAGTACAATCTTTAATTGAAGACAGACACTGGAAAACTTTAGACTATTTTGATATGCGACTCAGGTTCATTTTCAGTTCAAGCATGAAGATATTAAATTATGATTAGTTACAGCACCACAAACAAGTTGTATTTAAGACCGGCAACTATCATAAGTAAGTTTGCATGTGAACAGCTTACCCTTTCTTCACTCTTGCAAAATCAAATGCCATTTGTCTGTAGGAGAATGCTTTTTCATTCAGGTATCTACTATACCGCCTTATAAAGGTAGACATATCATATCCTGTAAGAAACAAACAAACAAACATCCATCCACATTTTAGTAAGTTATCTGTGTGCCATGTACAAAGATGCTTTACAAGCAGACAAACTGAGAATCACACATGGCATCGTATTTAAAGGTTTAAAATAAGATGCTGTTGATAAAAGCTAAAGATCTATATACAAAAGGTAAAAGGAGAAGAGTGTTTTGCATTTTAATTAAGCTTCCAGTACTCTGACCTACTGAAGGCACAAAAGTATGTCCAATTTACTTTCGCTCAATTAGTTATTTTAAGATTATTCTAAATGCTACATTCTTGTTCTGTGGGGACCCTTCTGTCAGGTGCACAGACAGGGCCAAGACCGGTCAACGCTTACACATAGTGTTTTCTGCAATTACTGTCAGTCTATGGTTAAGATAGCAATCAGAGCATAAAAGAGCTAAATATGCCCAAAGTAATGAACTTGTCTCGTTTTAAAAACTTGAATTTCACACTTTATACCAATAACCACAAGTAGAATATTAAACTCCAGTAACAAGTTAAGCAAAATAATGCAGAAAACTAGTAAAGACATTGAGGCCTATATGAAATGATCCTTTAGTTATAGCTGTGTACAACTGATACCCAGTATAAATTAAAGCAAACAATTAAAAAAAAAAATCTAAATCACACACTTCTGTTTATTCCTCTTATTAAGACATAAAAACTAGGGCTGTTTGAAATGGTACCATTCTGTTTTGACAGAACAGCATTTCATTTAGATTCGAAACCGCTGTTCCATTTCATTGAAACAGTTTTGGCTATAGCAGGGAAGTTCAAAACAGCCTATAACTTGTCATTTCTGGCCTGATTTGGATGAACCTTACAGAAATGGTAGCCCCTTCCAAGGGCATGAAGCCTGCCTAGTTCAAGGAGAGAGGTGCAGGGGTTTCAGGAAAACTGCACCTCGAAGTATTGAAAAAAAACAAACAAACCTCATGTCACATGTATGTGTTAAGCCACAGCATGGTCAAAACTGTAGGCATGCTAGCCCCTGCTGAGGCCACAAACCCTGCCAAATTTCAGGGAGATAGGTGCAGGGGTTTGGGGGAAACTGTACCTCAAGCTGCAGACAAGCAAAACTTGTGATACGGGTGACTGTGTGTGTTAAGGAGCAGCCGGGTGAAAGCTGCAGGTGTGCTAGCCCCTGCTGAGGCCACAAAGCCTGCCAGCTTTCAAACAGGTCTAGGGAGGTGATACTTCCCCTCTATGTGGCATTGGTTAGGCTGTAGCTGGAGTACTGCGTCCAGTTTTGGGTGCTGCACTTCAGGAGGGATGTGGATAGCTTGGAGAGGGTTCAGAGGAGGGCCACCTCATCTGGTTAAAGGCTTACAGAAAAACACCTATGTGAACCAATTGGAAGACCTGAACCTCTTCAGCCTCTGCAAGAGGAGGCTGAGAGGTGATCTTGTGGCCGCCTACAAACTCTTCCAGTGGGGGGGAAGGGGCAGCAAGAAATAGGGGATACAATGTTTACCAGGGCACCTGTCGAGGTAACAAGAAATAGTGGCCACAAACTGAAGGAGAGCAAATTCAGATTGGACATCAGGAAAAAATTCTTTACAGTGAAAGTTGCCAAAATATGGAATAAACTTCCAAGGGAGGTGGTGCTGTCCCCTTCCTTTGAGGTGTTTAAAAGGAGATTGGACAGACATCTGGCTGGGGTCATCTGACCTCAGTACTCATTCCTGCCCAGGACAGGGGGTCAGACTCAATGATCTAATAGGTCTCTTCTGACCCTAACATCTATGAAACCATGAGATAGGTGCAGGGGCTTCTGGGTTCTGGGGCCCTGCACCTCTGGCTGCTGACAGGCAACACTCGTAACACGGGTGCTTGTGGGACCGTGTCTGTCTTGGGGCACAGGGGGGTGAAAACTGCAGGCCTGCTAGGCTCTGCAGGGACCACGAAGCCTGCCAGCTGTCAAGGAGATGGGGAGAATGCTCTACTCCAAACACTAGAAAAGACAGGTGAGATATTATAGGTAAGGAAAAGTTGCAAGCTTTAGATGTATGATCAGATCTTTTTCCTTAACACTTTGATAAATAGTTAAAGGTCAAATGAAGATCCTAAAATATTCAAAGGACTAAATCTGCAACATTTGAAAAGGCTAGGAACAAGTCAGCAATGATTTGGTTTCATTCTCCGAAATCTGGTCTGACATGTTACACGGAGTACAATTAATTAGACATCAAAGCCTTTGTTGCACCTTTCTTTTCTACGGCCTCCCAATCTCCCTCCTGCCCCCAACCCCCTCACCAAGAAGCCAGCAGCAATTGTTATATTTTCACTACTATGGTGAATGTAGCATAGAATCCTGGTGTGGCAAGACCAGGGGACACATGGGGCTGCTAAATTGGCATGTAGTCTCTAGCAGTGCCAAGATCACTACTGAAAAATCCAAGTAATAAAACCTATACTGCTATAAGCCTTTGAAGTACATGGCACTGCCCTTTAATTCAGTATTATCTAGTAGATGCCAAACTTAAACAATACAATATAGCATAGGGTCTCCTATTAGACAAACCTATCTAAGCTCAAGGATAAGACTTTCAAGAAAAAAGTGGAAAATCCACAAAGAATGCCTGAAAAGTATTATTCCATGGGAAGAGAAGAATTACCAATCCTCCACTTTAAAACATATACATAAAAGAACAAGCAAAATACTGCTTCAAAGTCTGTATATATGCCTGCATAAATTAAATGCAAGTGGAACTTACTAGATTACATATATGGCAATTTTGTTTACTTTCAGGTTTTGGCAACATTACCATCACTGCAATATTTAACAACATCTATTCATGGTGTCCTCAACAGATTACAAACTCTAATGAAACATGCTCTTAGAGCATCAATAAGTTGCTATTAAAAGCATTACTGCCGCCCCAAAACTACACAAGTGACATGTATGTATCTTATCTATCAGGAACATAAGCCTGAAGTTGTTTCTTTAGTCATGCTAGAAGCAACTGAAAAAAAACTAACAGCAGACTGCCAAAAAGCACAAAGAGTAGTCACCCCATGTCCATTTTTTCGCTCTAACTTGAGAGTGTTGCTGAGAATGCCACTAAGACTGCTCTAATGTTTGTCCTCAAGGCAATAGTGGGTATAGCTACTGGCAGCTCAAGTGGTAGAGAGGTCTGGGTAGTACATCCAAACAGCTTCAACTAGATCTTTTAATGCATCTAAAGAAATGGTTTGCTTCCTCTTCCCCCTGGCTTCTCCCAATCAACACCAACAGAAAAACTATCAACCCACCTGAACACATTCAGGTCACCCAGGTTTTCAGAAGTCCAGGCTGCTCCTATACTATCCGCCATCACAGATGAGGAGCAAAGACAGGAAGGATAAAGGCTAAGTTTTCAGTAAGTTTTGGATGCCCAATTTGAAAAGCTATTTTGGTTAGCAGGCTTAGCATTCATACAGCACTTCATGTGTCACAAAATACAGCTCCTGTTCACTTCAGTTGAAATGTTAAGTGCTCAAAGCTTGGGTAAATCAGATCTCTGGATCTCAGGAGGGGCATCCAGAAAATTAGGAACATCCCATTAACTCTTTTCTGTGGCTAGGTGTGTATTCTATTATCCATTTAGCTGGACAAGTCACGTGCATACGTGACATACTGCTACTATGCACAGACCCTCACATCCCCCCAAGAGAGAGGGGGGGGAAATGAGATGACAACTTAGGCATGAAGTCCCAGACGTAGCCAAATACAGCCACATGAAACAACTGTGCATTTCCACAATCAGCTGTTTCTAGCCATGAAAAGGTTTTGTGCAGCTGAAGACTTCACTAAAGGCTAGTAGGTACCTATAGCCGTCTAGAATCTTACGTGGCTTTAAAAAAAAAAAATTAAAAAAAAAAAAATGGGGTTTTGCTCAGAGTATGACTGAAGCAACTTTGCCTCCACGGCAGGCCAGGCTACCAAGTCCCTCCTTGCACTTAGGACCAGATGGCCAAAACCACCTAAAGGGAAGAGACAGGTAGGTACAGCTATAGTTAGATTTAAGACACTTAGGCTTTCTGCAAGAACTGAAGAGAAGGTAAATGCTAGGGATAGACTGGGAGGCAGAAACAGGATCCATCTAGCCAGAATGGGGAGGCACCCTGAAGTCTAAGGAGAAGGGTGAGAGTCTTGAGACAGGAGTTGAGGAGGGGATGGAGGGGGAAGAGAAGTTGGACTATATAACCCCTGAGGCCAAAAGAAAAAGGCACTGTCCCTCTCCATCATCCCTGTGGTTGACAGGTATGGATCCCTGGACACCCATGCAAAGAGTTCTGTGCCCTGTGAATACACAGACAGGCTCCAAGACTTAAAATATTGCCTCCCCCACTGTCTGTCCTCCCACTGCCTACCCCATTACTGCTTCCGTCTCTGCCCCCACCACCTGCCCTATTACTGCCCCCTTCATCACCTTTCCCCCCCCCCACTGCTTGCAGTAGTGGTGGGAGGAATGAATTTAAGGTGGTCCTGCAATAATTGCATTCTGTGCATGGAAAATTATAATAAATATGCAAATTTTCCATGTATAAAATCTAATTTATTGGGAGTGGTGTGGGAGAGGCATCTTAAATTCTGGTAAATACAGTAACAGTGCTACCCCGCTAGCATATTAGTAAAGCATGTAGTTTCTCTAACCGGATCAAAATGTGTTCTGTTATACGTGATGATGTACCATACCATCTACACCCACCTTTTCAAAACCCTAATTCTATTTATGCTACAGCACTATATCTAAATGAGGGGGAAAAAGTTGTTAGAAGTTGTTAGTAATGCCAAAAGAAAGTAGAATACAGTGAAACTCATGCGCACTTACTAATTCTTCTCTAGTTAGATTTTCTGTCCCCATAACCAGCCTCCTCTCGTGTTCCCTTTCCCTGATTTCCCATGACAAAGTAAAAAATATGCAGAACATCTAACAGCAACCTTCATTGCCCTTAGGAAAACCTTATGATTATGAACATTTTAGGGAAGAGTTCATTTACAGTTATTCCTAAGATGAATAAAACTATTTAGATATTGACTATTTTCTCTCCAACTTCCTTGATATAGCCAACTAATGCATTTCTATTATGACTAAGCTATCCTGCCTCAACTCCATTTTAGAAGTTGTATTTGAAGCCATGGATATATGGAGTGTCATGGAGTGGGCCCTAGGAGCCGCCATGATCTCCCTAGCGCCCCCTACCCTGCCAAATTAACTGTTTAGCACCCTCTGTCTCACCCACCACATCTTGCTATTATATATATATATATCTTTAAGGGAGGCTGCCTTCCTGTTCTCTATGACATGGTGCTAGGTTCGTACTGGCCCATATCCTCTAAGGAGTGTCCCCGTGCACCCCAGCCTTATGGGCTACATGTGCCTCCAACCTCCCCTTTAGCATGCCCCAAGCCTCGCTGATGTCCTGGACGTTGACTGGTCAGTTTGCTCTCCGCGCCCTGACTGGCGCTCTGGGCTTGCCATGCAACTGGCGCCTCCCGTAGGTGCCCTGGCCTTGGACTTGCCACACAACTGGCGCCTCCTGTAGGCACCCTGGCCTTGTCACTCAACCGGCATCCTGGCTAACG